TATATATATATATATGTTTTTTGTTTTTCCTCATCACTGACGCTCCCTCATGCAGCAGAGGGCCAGAAATGCAAAAGGTCACAAATGAGCAAAACACAGAGAATAGGAGTCTTCAGAATGTGGGTCCTTGGACAGGACTCGTATATTAAAACTCATCCACCCAGGGCTCAGGCCCATTGTGGAAGAGGAGGTGGAAAGATTGTACAATCCGGAGAGGAGGTGTAGGATCATACAGAAGTAGTCCTACAGACTCCTAGGACTCTTCTCATACGAACCTACAGCAGTGGTATCAGACCCATGCAAATTTAAGCAGACAGAATTTAATACACAAGACCCATGCAAATTTAAGCAGACAGAAACCCAGCACAAAACTATGGAAATGGGCAGCAGGCCCCAACTTAGTGGAAGAATTATTGGCAGCTGATTACTGCTCAGTGGGGAAGAGTTGATCTTCTTAAAGGGAGGGACTCTAGATAGACTGACTACATCCCAGTGGATGAATTTGCACTGAGGGACATCTGGGAACACTAACTTTACATCATAGGCCTTAACACAAATGACAGAAGGTATGAACTCCAGTGGAGAGGGCTATGGGAGGGTACCAAAGGGGAAGGGGGTTTAAAGATGATTTTCTTTATGAGATATACAAAAATTTAATTAAAAAATTAGAAAATAGAAAAAAACCAAAATATGTATTTTTTAACATTCTTATTTTGTGTGTCTATACATTCATGCATTTGCACACACATGTGCCACAGTGCACTTGTGCAGGTCAGAGGACAATCTGTGGAAGTGGATTCTCTTGTATTATGTAGGTCCCTGGGATCCAACTCAGGTTGTCAGTCTTGGCAGCAGGTGCGATTGTCTGATGCATCACTGTGCTTGGCCTATATTTTTATATTTTACTAAAGTTTGAAAGCTTTATAAAAGAGTGATAGCTAACACAGACAATGTGAGAAGCACTGCTCTAAAGAACAGCTTAAAAATTTAAATTAGGCTTATTTGAAAAAGAAACTAAACCTCCTTAGTTTACAATTTATATTTCAGACTAAATCTGTATCTAAAGATGTATTAAAATTTAATATATTGGGGGCTGGGCATGGTGGCACAGGCCTTTAATGTATTCAGGAGGCAGAGGTAGTCAGATCTTTGTGAGATTGAGGGCAGCCTGGTGTATATAGTGAGTTCCAGGCCAGTTGAGATTATAGAAGACCCTGTCCTAAATAAATACATAGGAAATAATTATTATTTTGGGCTACTTGTTTAGTGTTGGTTCTCTGAGTAGAACCTACATACTGAATTCATTGTTTTTCTTACACTTAATATTTCTTGAAAGATTGACATGTTTAATTAAGTCCTTGATTTAAGATTAAAAACATGAAGAACTTGTTATCATTGATAGTTCTAGTTTCCTTTCTTGATTTATTGAAATATAAAATAAAGGAAGTAGCATTACATCTTTAAAATGTGTTCACATATTTTCATGGATATCAGAAAAGTGATACAGAGAACCACAAAACATTGTTGATGGTGCTTGTGGAGGTTTCCCCTCAGAGAAAACAAAGGTAATATCAGTGAGATAATATTTGCAATTCTAGATTAAATTATGATTTTAGTATTTCTCTTGTATTAGATAGTTAATATACTTTTAGTGTACTTGTATGTGTGCTTGCATGCACTCATGTAAAGTTATCAATCTTAACAAGGTCTTTGAATGTTCATACTGTTCTTGTCTTTGAACCAATTCACTTATTAGTGAATTGAGTATTTGATGGAAATTCCCTTAGTATTATTATTTGGATATATTGTAAAATGTGCCCAAATAGCAATATGGGTTAAAGATGTAAACAGGCCTTTTACATAGAAAAGAAATTTAAATGAAAAAAAAAAAAAAGTTCAGTCTTACCTTAGCAAAACCAGTGATGTTGATTTTGGTGAAACAGATGTTCTTAAGGACTTCCAGGAACCCTGTAAATTGGTTTAAATTTTCTGAGGAGGAGGTGATTTAGTGAAACTCAGACACAAAAAAGCAGTTGCACTGGGGAAAATTTTACTAAAGAGATACTTAGTTATACCTGATAATTTACAAGTAACTAGCAATCTAAATGATGATATATCCCTACAGTGTAATGCTGGATGGCATCAAAAGTGAAGTTTCAGAAATATATCTGTATATTTTATTAAGAAAAGGAAACATATTGCCAAATAATCTGTATAATAAATATGTTTTAGAATGTATTTGTGTAAGTATATACAGAGAGCAATACCTCAAGGCTGTGTGTTAAGTTTCTATGTGGGAAGTATTATGAATGTTTATTTTTGCACAGTTGAACTTGTATTGTTGTCTTTTAATGAGTATACATTGCTTTTTGAGAATTAATTGGCTAATAATTTTAAATCTATAGGATGGTATAGGGGGAAAGGAAACCTAAAAACCAACAGGATGCCCACCATGCCCCAGGCCCTTTCTGAAAGTTCATGAGGAGCCTGGTTTTCTTTTGGAGCTGGTTTGTGAAAGTTATGTCCAGAGACTCTTTTGTTTTGTTTTCTGTGACAAGTGTCTGTCATTTTCTAAGCAAGAAAGCCAGTGTCCCAGTTAGGTGTGTAGAGTTATTTTCATTCACTCACAGCCCTGTTGTGTTAATACTGAATAAGCAGAGACAGCCTGACTGGTGGTGAAAGATGGTAAGACACCTTAGGGCTTTTTCTGGTCAATCCTAAACCTCTGATTGCCACGTTTTTCCTAATTTCCCATTTCCAGGGCATCAGCTAGAGTGATCTTGCTCACTGAATATGATGCTTGGGGCCTCCAACATTTTCATATGCATTTGGAAGTGGGCAGCCAGGCGATTGTTTACAGGACTCCAAATGAACTGTGCTCCCACAGCAAGTTTGATAAACATACATTTCCTCCTTTTATCAGTGAGATTGCAGAATGTGAAGTATGAGTTTCCAGTTTTGCTCATTCCTCTCAACCCTCTTCCTGTTTAAAAATGTAGACATGCTAATTGCATGCTGATCAGTCCCTGTTTTTCATTCTGCTTACTGATAGTTGATGGTTTATCCTAATACTTACCTAAGCAAGGTTTGAAAAAAACTTCAAAAATAAACTTTCATGTATTCAGTTTAAAGGAGATTAATCCCAGGTAATGTAATGTGAGCACTAATTAACAGTAATGACTGCTAATCACTTTGCTTTTTATACTCCTTTAGGAGCACTGCTATTATCCAATACAGTTAAGCAAAATGGTTATATATGAATCAACAATGCTGCATGCATCCTTTTAGCAGCTATTGCTCACAATCAAGCATTGCATAAATTAGAGTTAACGAAAATTGATTTTAATGTGCTGTTTGTAAAATTGTAAAGTAAAATATCTAGTTAAAATCTTGACTATCAAAAAGATATTATCTGACTCCTTTTACAGTCAGCTTGTGGTAAGTGAAACAGTACTGCAAATACAGTTTTACAGCTGATGACATTTTGTCTTAGGTTTCTTTGAAATTGCATGTGACTCAGACTCACAGCAGCACTTTGATTCTGCTGTATGCATTAATGAAAAGCAATAGGCTGATGTTTAATTTTTCTGAATTTGGATAGTGACTTCCTAGAGGATCTTACAGATTTTTAAAATTACATAGTCCATTTATATAAACTTGATTCATAGGATTGCACATTCCACATTCATTAAAAGGGGTTGTTTTATTATGTGTAGTGCATTATTAGACCATCATAAAAGCTTTCTGTTTATTTTCATGCATTCAACATACCTACGAACTGCCTTGCCTCAGGAGGAGTCTAAGCAAAAGCCATAAATTAATAATTTAAGAGAGCTATACTCAAGTAGCATTTTGGTTAGGCTAATAGGTTAAAGCCTTGGAGTCAGTACCAGCAACTTTAGTGATGCTTTACTTTTAACTTTTATTGGCTAAAAATGACTTGTTAAACTGGAGCTTTTGTACTAAAATGAAATGTATGTACCATCTAAATTCCCTTCCCCTCTTTGATTTTCAAGTAGGTTGACATACTCTTCAAGAATTCCTATCACTTTTATAGTTCTGCACTTTTGTTTTGGGGAAGCCGCCAATCTCTCTGGAAGTTATAGAGTGACAAAATGCATTGTATACTGGCTTTTCTAGGGAATTTTTGATTTAATATTAGGGGTCTGAGCTTTGTGATGTTATCTGTATTAATGGTGATTCTTACTCTGTGGTATGGTGGTGTGATTTGATATATGTTAATGAAGTATCTTCCAGTCACATTTTACTTGTTCTGCCTAGTTTCTTGGGCCATAACGGTATCATTCTCATAGCTAATGTATTTTATTTCCACAGAGGCTCAGTAATTCAGGACATTGAATTTTAATTGTTCAAATGAAATAATTTGATTTTCCTTTCATTGTTGTGTATTTGTAGTATCAAAATTTTTTAAATTTGGACAAATAAGCAAGTGGAAAAAATTAAAATGGTAGTGTAATCTGAAGCTTTATATTGTATATACTAATGTTATTGTATATATTGCAAGCATATGTATTAAATAAACTGCTGGCACTGTATGTAATTGAATTTAGTTTCAAAAAATTGTAACAGGAATGATATGAGAGAACAAAAAATATAAATAGAAAATATATGGAATCTTAATTTAACACTATCCATATGTAATTACCAGACTTATAAGTATTGTGGGTAGCTTATTTATTTTAGATTATGTACCTTTGTCCAAGAGTTGTTTATGAGAAAAAGCTTGCTTTTCTATTATATTCTGACTTTCAGTACTCATATGTAATAAAATGTTTAAAAAGGTAAGGACTTCAGCTTTAAGTGTTGACTCTTTTTTTCAGTGTGTTTACTTTTATGTGAGTGTGATTGATCTGTAGCTGTCATTTTACCCAAAAAGAGGACAAATGGAATTGGCCTTTTAGACAAAAGTATGCAAACAGGCTTCATTCTCTCCCTTGATAGAATTATGGAAGGATTGCATGATGTGCTCATTCATTTTCCTATTGATTGTGAGGAGGAATCTGCAGTGGGGTGCTGTTTCCAGTGGATAAGGAGGTGCTATGTTTAGTTACCTTGCTCCTACAAAGAGAAATGCAAAATTTGTGCAACATAGTATTCTCAATTTGACAGTTGTTTTTGTTAATTTTTTTCCCCATTGAAGTCCAGTCTGTGTTAGAAAAAAAGCCTACTTTTTTTTTCCCTTTTCTTTATATTAAGGTAGTAGATTTCCATGCGTTTGACCCTTTAGAGAAATTATATTGTATAGTTTTTTTTAAGGCTTCTATTGTAAAGCTTCAAAACTGATGCAACAGTGCCCTCTATAGTCTCTTAAAAAGCACTAGATCTTTGTAGATGATTTGGAATATTCAGGTAAGAAGCAGGATATTTAAATTTAATTTACTCAGACAAGAGATCCTTTTTTCCTAAGGAGACATTCTTGTTTTTCACTGGCGGCTTTACTTTTTACAAAGGGAACAAAAGACCATTTGAGTTTTCATTCAGAATTATTGGCTCCCCCTTGTTGTTAACCCAGTTTTATCAGACATTTATCAGAGTAATTTGAGATAGAAGGAATCTTACAAGCTATACTGTCTCTTCATGAAATATCTTTTTGATGTTGAACTCCAATAAGACTGTTTAAAAAATAATTTTGTTCCTTTGTACTTGTTTCTTAATTAGAACCTGAATGGGATGCCTGGAACTTAACTTTTACTTGTTCCTGAATTGGATAACCAAGGCTTTTTTATACATGACATTATTTAAATTCAAACCAAGGCAATTACACAATGACTGAAGTATTTGTCATTCATTAGCATTGATTTAAATTGTAGATTTCCCTTCCTCTCTTTGGTTACCTATTTGATTGTACATGTGGATAACTAAGTCTTTCATTACAAAATAGAACTAGATGTGAATTTGTTAATTCATAATAAAAGGATACATCATATTCACATATTATTAGGGAACTATTTCATAGATTGAGTGTATTATGCTTCTAATATTTAAAATATATCTTGACCTACATCCTAGCCTGTAAAAATCAATAAATAATGTTAACACATTCCAAATATTTGACTTGTTTTCTCATCTGTAAATTGGGAATAAGAAAAATAGCTTATTCTTTGAGGTTTCTTTAACAATTAAGGATTGTTCGGGTAATTTTAAATGCTCAGATGATAACTTTCAAATTTTACAGCATAAAGGGAAATGGCTTTGTTTATGAGGGAATTTTGATATGAAATCTAGAACACATTTAGTGCAATTTACATCTTTAAAACTCATCTCTGGAAACTTCTGATTTATATGAATCTAAAAGTTGGCACGGGATTCCTTGGTAACCTGGAGTGACAAAATTAGATGTTCATTTACTTTCAACTCCCTACAGATGCAGTTCTTGAACATCTTAAACAGGCAGCTCTATAAACTTCATCTTAGGCAACATTTATGCATAATGAATATTTAGCAGTTTGTGAATGCCGATTATGATAAGTAAAACAGAAAAAATAAATGGAAGCATTTCATGTTTCTTCATTAGAGAATCAGGAAATATTGAGGCTTCTTTTCATTTAGTAACTAACTTTTGCTTCTACCATTAACTACTAAAGAATACTGATATGTTAAATAGATGAAAGTGAATTTTATCTGGTTGAAGTGGAGATGAGGGCCTAATACCTCCCTCCATTGAAAGAAGAACATTTAAAACCCACTAGTGCAATTCCTTTGTGTGTGTTTTTTTAAATATGTATTTTTATTGATTTATTGTGCATTTCACACAATATATCTTAATCATATTTAGACCCCCTCACCTATCTGCACCCCTCCCTCATAGTCCACCAGATTTCATGCATTTTGTCATATATGTTAAAGCCTATCTAGTCAAGTTTATATCCCCACATGTCATCTAGTGGGTGTGTGTTTGTCCACCAGAGCCTGAACAGCGTGTCTAGTGTCACTCCCTTGAAGATCAACTGCCACCTCTGTATGTGTTTTGATAGTTAACACTCATTTTGTTTTGTATAAGGCTTTTGTCTTTCAATTTCTACATGGCACATAAAAGATTCTCAGTTAAAGAGAACTGCATACAGAATTTTTTGAGTGGTGGAACTTCTCTTATCCATATATGATTACTCTTTATGTAGAAAAATGCATAAAATATAATATGTCCATGTAATCTTTAAATAATTGCTTCTGCAAACCATCTACAACAAGCACACATGCATTATAATTAGAAATTTTAAATAAATTCTTTTAGTT